CTTGAGCAATATTCTCGTAGGGAATGTCTGGAGTTACGTGGTATACCTGTAGTAAGTAGAGACACTTCAAGAGAGAATACAGAAGACATTGTAAAGCATGTAGCAGATTGTGAGTTGGTGTTGAATTATGCTCAGATTTCGATCTGTCATCGTTTGCCTGTTACTAACATGCCGGTAGTGCAAATGGAGACTCGAAGCAGTTATAAAAGACGACCAATGAATCCTACTATTATTGTCAAGTTTGTTAGACGAAAGAAACGCGAAGAATTCTACCGAGCACGAAATATACTTCGAGGGAAAACTGTTAATGACCTAAATCTTAATCTCAATACCGGTGAAAGAATGTTCATTGCAGAGAGCCTGACAAGAGCAAATAAAGAGTTATTTAGTAAAGCTCTACAAGCAAATCGCGATCAATTAACGAGCATGGTTTCTGAACTAAATCATCAATTTTCTGTCATTGGCCTCTCAGAGACAAAGCATAGATTCGATCGAGCTAGCCTACTAAATACTGAGATACCTGGATACACCTTTTTATCTCAACCTATAGCATGTTAAATGCAGGTGGTGTAGGTTTTTTTATACAAAATAAACTGAAATTTATTAAGAGAGATGAGGTCTCGATTACAACAAATGATTTTGAAGCCCTGTGGATAGAGCTTATTGATAAATCTAAAAGAAACTTCCTATGTGCAGTTATATACAGACATCCGCATGGCAATATTTCTACATTTATGGACTATTTAAATTCCGCTATTGATAAAGTTCATAGAGAAAGGAAACATTGTGTAATCATGGGCGATTTTAACATTGATTTACTTAAGTATGAAGAACATCAACAAAGTGATGAATTTATTAATGCTCTAAGGACTTACTCTTTCCAACCTTATATCCTTCAACCTACAAGAATAACTGACCATTCTGAAACTCTAATAGACAATATCTTCTTTAATTCCGTTGATCATGACTTAATAAGTGGGAATCTGATTTACGACATTTCTGACCACCTCCCAAATTTTTTGCTTGTAAACAATATGGCCACTTCACAATGCAGAACAAACATTTATAGTCGAGATTATTCAAAATTGAATGAGATCGCTCTGTGTGATGCATGAGATTAGAATTTTAGATTGGAAAGAAATTTTATCCCATTGTCATAATTCTGATGATCTTTTCAGCACTTTTCACTCAACTATTTCAGGTATTATTGATAAGCATATATATCCCTTTGCGAAAATTATCACGAAAGCAATCTAAACAGCAGAAAAAACCCTGGATTACAACTGGTATTAGGACTGCTATAAAGAAGAGAAATAAACTATTTAAAAACTTTATTAGCACAAGATCAAACGAAGTCCTAGCTAAATTGAAATTATACAGGAATAAATTAAATCATCTAATTTAAGTATCCAAACGAAATTATTGCAACAACTATTTTACAAACAACAGAAATAATACAAAAAATACACGGCAAGGTATTAATTAAACAAACTATAACTACTAAGCCAAAAAGAGTTCAACCACCACCAAAAATAACAGTTGATGGTGTTGAAATAACTGATATCACAAAAATAGCAAATGAATTTAATGTATTTTTTTGCAATATTGGGTATTGTCTGGCTAATAATATCCGTCAAAGTAATACTACCCCATTGCAATATCTTAGATAAATTAGATAATTCTTTTTATCTTTTCCCTGTATCAGAATCTGAAATAGTGGATGAAATTTAAACTCTAAATGAAAGTACGGCCACTGGACCTTTCAGTATTTCCACCAAAATTTTAAAGCTCCTAAAATTTTTAATGTCAAAACCACTGGAGATTTTATTTAATTTTTCATTCTCTTCAGGTACGGTATCAAGTCAATTTAAACTTGCCAGAGTACTTTCTGTCTTCAAAAAGGGAACTCAAACTTTGTGTGAAAATTATCGACCAATTTCTTTACTAAGTATTTTTAATCGTATTCTAGAAAGGTTAATGTACAAAAGACTAATTAGTTACATTGAGAAGTTTAATATTCTTTACAGCAAACAGTTCGGATTTCGAGAAAAACACTCTATAGAACATGCTATTTTATCCATTATAGATAAAAATCGAACATGCTGTCGAGGATGGAAAATTCTCATGTGGCATTTTCCTAGATCTAAGCAAAGCATTTGATCAGTACTGTAAACCATTCAATCCTACTACAAAAACTTGAGCATTATGGCATACGAGGAGTCGCATATGACTGGTTCGTTACTTATTTAACTGAACGTACGTAAACAATTTGTTTCAATTGGTCAGAAATGTTCAAGCCATCTTATTAATCCATGTGGAGTTCCTCAAGGTTCAGTTCTGGGTCCCTTGTTGTTTCTATTGTATGTTAATGATATTAGTCAAAGCTCTAAAATTTTTTATATTCATCTATTTGCTGATGACTCTAACCTTTTCTATGCTAGTAAGAGTTTATTGGAATTTGAATCTTTAATTAATGCCGAACTCAAGCTAGTGGACAGCTGGCTATGTTCTAATAAACTCTCCCTAAATATAAGTAAATCCAGTTTTGTGATATTTCATAATCTGCGACCAATCTATTAAGGAAATGAAATCTATCCAATATCTTGGAGTTATCATAGATAGCAATCTCAAATGGAAAGAACATGTTAATTATTTAACGAAAAAGATTTTAAAAAATGTTGGACTGCTTTCTAAAGTAAGATATTTTGTTGATCAAGCAACTCTTGTTAGCTTATATTATGCTCTAGTTTATCCTTGCTTTACCTACTCTTTAATTGCATGGGGGCGTACTTACAAAACAGTTATAAATCCTTTAATTGTACTACAAAAACGTGCCATACGAATCATCACATTCTCATCCTACTGTGACCATAGTAGTCCTCTCTGTAAATATTTAAATCTCATCAAATTACAAGATCTAGTCAATATTTGCACTGCTGTTCTTATGTTTAAGTTTCACAACTCTCTCCTGCCTTCTACATTTAACCTCTTTTTTGTGCCTGTTGACCAATTACATTATTATAATACAAGGTTATCATCTAACCAATCTTATTCTCTTCCTAAACCAAGAACAAATTATGGTATGTTTAATATTAGATTTCAAGGGCCTAAAATATAGAATTCTATTGATAGTAAAATCAAGACCTCATCTCTGGCTTTTCTAAAAAAAAATTTAAAATTTTCATATATCGAAAGCTACTAAACGATAGTAGCTTGTGCACCCCTTATTATTAATTAACTTAAAAATTGTTTTTCTATTTGTGTATTTGTTTGTTTTTTTTGTTGGTTTTTTTTGTTGAGTTAGTATTCTGTACACTATTGCGACCGACCGATAAAACTTATTTAATTAGTCCAAGGACTTTTATTGTCTCTGAGTATTTGGTTGCCTAGCTTGATAAGCCCGTATGGTTTTTCTAGGTTTTTACCAATACCAACCTAGCCAATCTAAAAAAAAGAAAAACATATGTATGTGTGTGTATGTGTATGTATATATGTGTATATGCATATATATGTATGCATATATATATTCGTATTGTAAATAACTTTTATGGTTGGAATAAAAATTGTTGTTCTTGTTGTTGTTGTTGTTGTTGGGTTAATTATGCACCTCTATTTTAAACACCCTTTACCAGAAAAGTTGTATTCATTTGGATGATGTTAGTTCAATAGCATGCTTACATTAAATGAGTAAAAGCATTTGAATTTTGTATTTCTTGCTTTGTATATGCAAACAACCAAAAATAACAAATTCATTGTCAGTCAATCAATAATTTTTATTTTGTGTGTGTTGGTGTTATGTACTCAGGTGAATATATGATGTTTGTGATGTTACTGTGAGTGTGCATCCACACTGGGCAAGCTGAAAAGTTAGCTTGGCCAC